TATATAGCTATACCCCCCGGGGAATACCGCTGTGGCATGACATTTAATGCATGAGCTTTGTGTTTAAGATTTCATACTCTTTTTAGCTTCCACCATCCATCTGGCAGTTTCACATACACAAGCTCATCAATCTCACTATTAATGAATGTATTAACATCATTCAACTGCTTCGCATCTAGATCAAAGACAGCAGTGAGTGCTAGTAGAATTCGCATTAATATGTGCATTGCGGCGGGTTCTAGTCCTTCGATCACCTGCTATAATGTTCGACTCACTAAACTCAGAGCTTATATCAGCAGCTCTGAAGACCGTATTACATGCTTGATTAGAACAAGTTAAACTATCAGAACAAGTTGAAATATCATGAGCAACTACATTAACACCTGATTTTGATGTAGATGTAGATTCTGATGTAGAAAGAAGTTGATTGTTTAAATCCACATGGAGCTGTGAGTTTAACTGCTCATTAAGATCATTCTTTTCTGTTTTTTCAGACCGTTGAGCGATCTCATTAAGATGAAAAACATCTATATCCACGGTGCCAACATGCTCATTCAGTTGGTTCAATGTTTAAGAGACTGAGAGATTCAACTCTGAGATGATTAATATATTCATAAACTCAATCTCTTGAGTCACTCAGTCTTGTAGTTGCTTCTTAACATGCGGATCATCAGGATTAAACTTTCTCTTCTCATTAAACACAACATCTCTTGTTTTAATCACTTGTTTAAGATAAGAAATCCAAACTCTGTAGATGTTCATGAAGTCATAATCTACAAGATATTCAATATGTATGCAAGAGTCTAGTTTTCACAATCAATCTCAATTGAGGATTTTGTCTGGGATTTTTGTATATGCACGGCATTTATATATGTAAAGATGCACACAGAAATGTAATACAATCTTTAAATAATCCTTTAAAGCTTGTAATAAAGATCTTCATTTAAGAAGCTTCATGAGTGTATGATTTGCAAGATAAACAGCCGCTATAGCTATTTCTAAAAAAAGAGACTGAGACAGCATAGATTCAATGTGAAGCGTTCTGACTTTAATGATTAATATAGCACCTGCTCGCTCCGCGGCGCCATTCTGTTCATAAAGATATTCAGAGAAATATTTCATCTCTATATCCTCTTTACTAATTCAATCTTTAAACTTGTCTGTCTCTTTAACTGCTGTTTTGTTGTTAATACAAATAATCTTTGTCTCATAGTTAAATTGACACTTAATTCATGCAATAGCTCTCTTAAATGCTTTTTAAATCTCTGACTTTCAGACAGCTGTAATTGCAATGTAAAATCATAAAAAGTTGCATATAAAATAAATAAGTCAACGTTCTTCATTGTAGCATTAAGAGAGACTCTGAATAATGTCTGCATAAAGCTGTTCAAATGATCTTTAAAATCTAATATATAATCAGCAAGATATTTGATTTCTTGCAGTTCTTATGTGACATGATTTACATAGATCCAGCTTCAGAACATTCATGGCATTGAGGTCAGATATTTACACATCTGTAACATCCTTAACAAGTTTTTTAACCACGAGCTTAGAGAAATGACTGAGACGTCTATGTCATACACTATGGTTTGTAACAGATAGCTTGAATGTGTATGAGAGACATTGTTTTAAAGATTAAGATGATAAGGTGACTATAGATTGCTGTGGCAGAGCTGCAAGAGTCATGAAGATTCTATCAAGACTTGTATTAGTAGTTATAAAAACACTCTTTTTTCCACTCTTATATTCAGAGATTAATAGATCTTCAATCATCTTCAAACACATGAAAACACTGTCATCTTTTCTTCTTTACAATTTAAATATTTTATCATCATAATATAGATCTTCTATATAATAACAGAGCTTTCAAGCAATGAGATTAATGTAGCAATTCAGGATATACACAGTATTTAATAAAGTAATCTCAAATTCTTTTTCTGTCTCATTAATCATGTATGTAAGAACTGATTCATATTCTTCTACTTTAGTAAAAGAGTCTTCAGTATATACCTCAGCGTACGCTGAAGTAAAGATTAGAAATCAAGATCTATTATTGCATACATGTTGTTCAGCGCCTGTATTATATATTTAGAAATCTCAGAGATATTTCTATTGATTGATCACGCTCATTGTTATTCGTTGAACTGCAGATTGAATGACTTGAAGATTAAGTTCTGACTGACGATTAAGCTCTGTCTCTTGTATGTTTTCTTGACTCTTTAGTAGCATGTTATCAAGAGATTGTTCTTAAATCAATTAAGTATTCTTAAATACAGTCTTTGTAAGAGCAGCATCAATCTTCTGCTTGAGATTCTTATCTTTAAAAGCTTCATCTATCTTCTGTCTTCAATTCTTCTTCTTCTTTTAATTGTTCAGACAAATCAAGAGATTTAGATAGTAACATTTTACTCATTTATGCCTGCCACTGCAGACACATGTTCTTTCTCTATTCATGAATCAATCTATTGATCTTCTGTTAAGAGTTGCGAATGTGACATTGAGATGAGTCTTCAAGATTCTCATTTTCTTATATCATTCTTAAAAATCATTGATCAGACTAGTTAAATCAATCACATTTCTGTTTTAATGTACATCTTTTACTCATGCTTGTGCACATTCAGCATTGATCATGAGATTTATATTAAGAAAATTAATTTTAAGATTAAATGCTTTATGAATGTCTGCTTTCATTACATTCTTCTCTATAAAAGATCACTTATTTAATCATTTCTCTATTTCTTGATTCTTTAGAGACTTACATAGAGCTGTATACTGAGTTTATACATCATGCTGTAGAGATGAAACAGTAGATAAAAGACAAGCTTCTAGAGTCTTAATTACATCTTTTACATCTACATTAACACCGCTTGAACAGTGTTTTAATTCGTTCACTGACACGCTTCTTTAAATCAGGTTATTCATTCTCTTTATAGCTCTCTTGATTCTGTTGTACTCAGCTACATCAATCTTTCAGTCAGTCATCTTCATATTTCATTTGTTTTTGCTCTCTGCAGTGTAGTTCGTTGATATCAGTCTCACAGGCTTCTTTAGATCTTGAGCTCGATCTGGCTTCTTGAGGTCTATGAAGTCTCTAACTTCGGTGTGCTTCACAGCTTCTAGTATGAACGCATATCAGAGTTTTTATTCCTTCAAGAAGGATAGCTGCACTGTCTTGATATTATTAACATTGTTTAAATCCGTCATGATTGCGGCAGCAAATAGTCAAACGAAATGATTGAGAGATATATTGTTTGATATATATGAGGATAGGGAGGGGGTGTATTAGACACGCAGTCGTATATAACGTAGGTTATTCTCGGGCGTTCAGTGAAACGTCTCCGGGCTCATAACTATCAGAAATAATGATTCGTTATATTGCCATATAAGCTATTCTCCTTGATTACTTCAAGATCTATCTATCTAATAGCTATACGAAATATATATATGATTTTCTCGCATTGTGCGAGCCAAGGAACTAATAATAAGCGAAATTGCATGGTAATGGGCGAATATGCATGGTTGGCCGATTTTAGCCCGCATGCTACGGATCATCCATCTCGGCGAGTTCCAACACTTATATTCTCCTCGAAGGTTAGTTTATATTTGCTTTGGTTACCGTATATACCATCTCAACATGAATTAAACTGACACTGGCAATCAGAAATCGACAGCTCAACATGCAGTTGACCAGCAAACTCGTGGCTCTGATGCTTTCTTTCGCATCATTCACGTTGGCTGCACCTACCGAAAGCGCAGCTGAGCAGGGCAAGAACGCTGATGATCTGCTAGCATGCAAATCTGGCAGTTACCGTTGTGGTGGCTGGCTTGACCGAATCGAGGTCTGCTCTGGAGGGAGATGGGTATTAACAGCCGTGTGTGGGAATGAGTGTCTGTATGATAACCGCGGTTTTCCCTATTGCGTTTAAAGAAGGAAAAAGGGGCCTGAAACGTGCATAATAACTTTCCCCTCTTCGGTGGACTCACCACTGGTGATCGGGGTTTTGCAATCCAGTGGTAGATTAAATTTGTTTCTGCTATTGCTCACACTCATTCAACCACGAAGCTTCAACAGCTGAATTGATACCTTCCAAAATTTTCCAAACTTTCTCCCCTCAATTGCTTTTGAGTAGTGACGCTTTATAACCCGGAATGAAACTGGAGCCTGCTAGCACAAGCACAACCATCATCTATATAATGGCCGTCTGCACTCCTTCTCCGGTGGTAAAAACGCCTCTCTCCCCCTAAGATACCCAAGTTTTATTCCGCGGCTATTATAAGACAAAAAGAACGACATATGTATATTCTTAAATAAAAATTATAAATATAGTATGATGAAAAATAGTAGTATTAAAGACTTGTCAGGGGTTGAACCCTAATGGACTCGGGCTAGGTACTGCGTTAGCAACTCGTCCTTACTCCGTACTCTGAATAGTACTAATGCTTGAAAGCTCTCTCTGTTAACCTTTTATTATCTTTTCTTCTTTTCTTTCTTAAGCTTTTCTTCTTGTACAATACTCCGTGGGCACAATATAGTTCTTTCACACCTAATTGCTCGCCCCTTACGGAGTCTGAGATGATGTGATAGTTATTAGTAATAGTCTCAGTAGGGGTAAAAAGCTGATTTATAGCTTCAGGCATTGATTATTTATTCTTTCAGCTATTTCTTCTACGTTCTATTCATCGTGTGGTTTCTATGATAAAATATATTTACCTCAAAGAAAAAGAAAAGTACTTTTGGCGGGGGATGTTGGCAAAATAACAATTAAAAAACATAATTTAAAAAAATAAGGAAATCCGACACCAGCAGGATTCGAACCTGCGCTCCCGAAGGAAATGCCTAAACTGCGTAGTTTTCCTTTCTCCTTGTCACGAGGAGAAGAATTCTGCTGCAATTTGGAAATTTAATAGCAGGGCATCGCGTTAACCACTCCGCCATAGTGCCTTTGGTTCGATGCTGGCGGAGGCACATTTGCGAATTTTGTTTGGTCAGTGTTTTAATTTTTTTAATGGAATATGGAGTGGGTTATTGCTTCCGCCCAAATATATATATATATATATTTTTAACTCTCTACCATATCGGTTCTTCTCCTTTTTTTTTTTTTTT